GTATTTTCAGGGTATGGCTTAATTGTAAAGTCATGCTAGGTCTATTACCTTTAATTCAACTAATGAGTAAAATATCATTCAAATAAAAATTATATAAATTAAATATAATTTCTCGCTCAATCAACAATTTAATTCAATCTTTTGTTAAAAATTATTGCAACTAACAATAAAAATTATTTCTATTTATAAACCAATTATTTATTAATTAAAATTAATTTCCAATTGAAAAAACAAATCAAGTTTTCAATCTTTGATTAATAATTGAATTAAAATAAAATTTTTAATTCTACACTAATTCAATTGCAATTCAATAAAATTATTTAGAACCCTAGAAAGCACACATACCTTTACCTCCATAGACATATAAATATAAATAATTATCTTTATTACTTATTTCGTAATCGCGAACTAGAAACTCAACATGCTGACGGAGCGATAAATATTATTAGCTGCACACAATCCGTACACATAATCATCTAAGTGAACAGAACTTACTTTTCCCTCACGTGCACCTATTGTAGTTCTGGTTGAAATTTTGATTACAGAACTGAAATTTCAACTAAAATGAGATAAGTCTATGTTTACGAGAAAATTGAAGTTAAACGTGTCAAAGCAGTAACGACAACAATAAATACAAACTAAAGCTAAAGTAAAAATAACATACAATACACACAAATATACACATCATCAGAATATAGATGCTTTTATGTAGGTCTGTAGGTATACAATTTTGTCTCGAACATCAATTGTAGGGGCACTAAAAAAGTTGATCGTCGGGATTTTTTCGGGATTATTATTACTTATAAAAAAAAAGAAAAAAANCATGTGTATGAACTCGTTTATGCGTTTTTGAATCAGATAATTGATTGAAAGATTTGCCGCATATTTCACATTTATAAGGCTTTTCGCCTGTATGGATACGAGTGTGCGTTTTTAAAGTACCCCTTTGAGAAAATGATTTGCCGCAGAGTTCACATTTATATGGTTTTTCATGTGTATGAACTCGTTTATGCGTTTTTAAATCAGATAATTGATTGAAAGATTTGCTACAGATTCCACATCGGTATGGCTTTTCGCCAGAATGGGCACGTATATGTATTTTTGCATAATAGTGGGTAGCAAAAGATTTTTCGCAAATTGTACATTTATATGGTTTTTCATGCGTATGAACTCGCATGTGCACTTTTAAGTGGGATGTTTGACTAAAATGTTTGTTGCATATTTCACATTTGAACGGTTTTTCGCCTGTATGGGTACGAGTATGTATTTTCAGGGTATGGCTTAGAGGAAAAGATTTTCCGCAAATTTTACATTCATATAACTTTTCATGTGTATGAATTTTTTTATGCTTTTTTAAATCAGATAATTGATTATAAGATTTGCCACAGATGCCACATTGGTATGGCTTTTCGCCAGAATGGGCACGTGTGTGTATTTTTGCATAAAAGTGGGTAGTAAAAGATTTTCCGCAAATTGTACATTTATATGGTTTTTCATGCGTATGAACTCGCATGTGCACTTTTAAGTGGGATGTTTGACTAAAATGTTTGTTGCATATTTCACATTTGTGTGGCTTTTCGCCTGTATGGACGCGAATATGTTTTATTAGAGTGTATTTTTGTGAAAAAAGCTTCCCACAATCGTTGCATTTCAAATTCGCATTTTTTGTATTATGGTTCATAGTATGTACCTTCAAAAGATGTGATTGAAAAAAAAAATCGCCACAAATTCCACATTTATAGGGCTTTTCACGTGTATGAAAGCGAGTATGCCTATTAAAACTAGACTGATTGGAAAAAAGTTTTTCACACAACCCACATTTGTAAAGTTTTTCGCTTGTTTGGATACGAGTATGTACTTTCAAATTAAATAATTTAGAAAAATATTTTCCACAGATTTTACATTCATGCAGCTTCTTGCGTGTTTGCAAGCAACCATGCACTTTTATATTTCGTTTCCAAGTGAAAGATTTTCCGCATAATTTGCATTTGTAAGGCTGTTCGCTGGTACGGGTACAAGTATGATTTGTCAATTCACTCATGCAAATAAATGACTTTTCACAATTGATACATTTATAATGTTTACTGCCGATTATCGTTGTGCTTATTATCTTCCATTGTAAATATTATCATTCATTAAATTTTTCAATAAGCGTTGACTAAGATTTTAGTAGTATTCATGATATTTTTATACATCTTTTTGATATCATCCTCTAGTGCAGTTGAATCTGAATATTTTCATAAAACCAAAGAAGTTCCTGAAAATAAAAATTTAATTATCACAAATGCTTAATTGTTGATTACTTTTACAAAAAATTGTAACTTTTAAATGTATGTATTTGACGCAAAATGCAAAGTTGCAAAGAGTGCCATGCCACATACGTGAAAATACGATAATTTTATTGATTCCGCAAAGAAAATGTGGAACATGTAAACTCTCGGGTCGTGATCGCATTCGCTGCTTATAAAGAAGGGATTTTTTATATTTTCTATCTGCAACTTGCCTTGTGAGATGAAGGCAAGAGTTTTCCAGTGCACGTAAAAAAAAAAAAATACTTTCCTGATAAGCAGTGGGCGCGATTTTTTACTTGAGGATAAATGTAGCACTTTCGCTAAAAGATGACTCAGGAAAAAATCGTTGCAGAAAATATGGAAAACAACTCTTTGTATAAAAAAGGCCAGGTTCTATACAAATCTTGAAGCCAGTTTTAAGGGTACTTCAACCGAGACGGGTCTCTTCTATTTTATTTATTTATTTCAAGATATTTATTAATCCACAAAAATAACAGTGAAGGTCTTTTTCTAGATCCGTTTAGAAATTCTTTGCCCAAGTAATCATGCAGACTCTATGAGTCGATCTGAATTTTTTGGAGGATGAAATTTTATAAAATTCTCCCACATTTTTATTAGCGGGATTATTTTATTAATACGTTAAAAAATTAATTTGTTTTCACATATTTTTCAATCACATTAAAATGTGTTGGATTATATCATATTGAAAATTTACAAGAAAAATACCCATATTTTTCATAATTAAATTTGTATATTAATACGTTAACAAATTATTCTTTTATTAGAAGATCTTCATCGTCATTTCCAGTTTTTTGCCCCTTAATTATAATATTGTAATTTAATTTACAAGTGACATAATTTTTTTGTTAAGTCCGTATTCAGATGCGTACACGTTTTTATGGTCATAAGATATTGTGTATACATTCATCTTATCAAAACATCCTTTGTAGGAAATATAGACTGCCTGCATATTACAAAAATATTAATCCTACGGGTGTATGAAAAAATCATGTCTATCTAAATTAAACTTATCGTCTTCAGACGAGGAGTACAATTATGTGTTTATACCAAATTGTACGATACTTATGGAGCCATAATAAAATGATTTAAATAAGTTCATTCTCTTTCGTGTACGTCGATTTCTTCCTTACTTTGCTGTGTTTACAAGAGTATTATCTTTTACAATAAAACGAGCACATACCTTAGTTTTCTAGAAAATATTCTGTTTATTTGCCATTAAAATAGTAAAATTTTTGCGAAACTCAAACTTAATATTAAACACAATTTTTAAATAATACTTTCGCTAGTATGTAAGCGAGTATGATGTATAAGATTGTGTTTTTCAGTAAAAGATTTACCGCATTCGTGGCATCTATAGAGTCGATCGCTGTTGTGAACTAGACTATGCCATTTGAGATTACATTTGCCAAGAAAAGATTTGCCGCAAATTTCACATGGCTTTTCTTTGTGGTTTTTTAGGTGCCTGATAATTTCTATTTTACCAGTGAAAAACTTGCCGCAATCGTTGCATTCAAAGCACTCACTATTTCTTTTGTGAATTAAAGTATGTTCTTTTAGTGTAGAACTGCGAGTAAAAGATTTCCCACAAAATTTACATTTGTAAGGCTTTTCGCCTGTATGGATGCGAGTGTGCGTTTTTAATGAACTGCTTTGAGAAAATGATTTGCCGCAGATTTCACATTTATGTGGTTTTTCATGTGTATGAACTCGTTTATGCGTTTTTGAATCAGATAATTGATTGAAAGATTTGCCGCATATTTCACATTTATAAGGCTTTTCGCCTGTATGGATACGAGTGTGCGTTTTTAAAGTACCCCTTTGAGAAAATGATTTGCCGCAGAGTTCACATTTATATGGTTTTTCATGTGTATGAACTCGTTTATGCGTTTTTAAATCAGATAATTGATTGAAAGATTTGCTACAGATTCCACATCGGTATGGCTTTTCGCCAGAATGGGCACGTATATGTATTTTTGCATAATAGTGGGTAGCAAAAGATTTTTCGCAAATTGTACATTTATATGGTTTTTCATGCGTATGAACTCGCATGTGCACTTTTAAGTGGGATGTTTGACTAAAATGTTTGTTGCATATTTCACATTTGAACGGTTTTTCGCCTGTATGGGTACGAGTATGTATTTTCAGGGTATGGCTTAGAGGAAAAGATTTTCCGCAAATTTTACATTCATATAACTTTTCATGTGTATGAATTTTTTTATGCTTTTTTAAATCAGATAATTGATTATAAGATTTGCCACAGATGCCACATTGGTATGGCTTTTCGCCAGAATGGGCACGTGTGTGTATTTTTGCATAAAAGTGGGTAGTAAAAGATTTTCCGCAAATTGTACATTTATATGGTTTTTCATGCGTATGAACTCGCATGTGCACTTTTAAGTGGGATGTTTGACTAAAATGTTTGTTGCATATTTCACATTTGAACGGTTTTTCGCCTGTATGGGTACGAGTATGTATTTTCAGGGTATGGCTTAGAGGAAAAGATTTTCCGCAAATTTTACATTCATATAACTTTTCATGTGTATGAATTTTTTTATGCTTTTTTAAATCAGATAATTGATTATAAGATTTGCCACAGATGCCACATTGGTATGGCTTTTCGCCAGAATGGGCACGTGTGTGTATTTTTGCATAAAAGTGGGTAGTAAAAGATTTTCCGCAAATTGTACATTTATATGGTTTTTCATGCGTATGAACTCGCATGTGCACTTTTAAGTGGGATGTTTGACTAAAATGTTTGTTGCATATTTCACATTTGTGTGGCTTTTCGCCTGTATGGACGCGAATATGTTTTATTAGAGTGTATTTTTGTGAAAAAAGCTTCCCACAATCGTTGCATTTCAAATTCGCATTTTTTGTATTATGGTTCATAGTATGTACCTTCAAAAGATGTGATTGAAAAAAAAAATCGCCACAAATTCCACATTTATAGGGCTTTTCACGTGTATGAAAGCGAGTATGCCTATTAAAACTAGACTGATTGGAAAAAAGTTTTTCACACAACCCACATTTGTAAAGTTTTTCGCTTGTTTGGATACGAGTATGTACTTTCAAATTAAATAATTTAGAAAAATATTTTCCACAGATTTTACATTCATGCAGCTTCTTGCGTGTTTGCAAGCAACCATGCACTTTTATATTTCGTTTCCAAGTGAAAGATTTTCCGCATAATTTGCATTTGTAAGGCTGTTCGCTGGTACGGGTACAAGTATGATTTGTCAATTCACTCATGCAAATAAATGACTTTTCACAATTGATACATTTATAATGTTTACTGCCGATTATCGTTGTGCTTATTATCTTCCATTGTAAATATTATCATTCATTAAATTTTTCAATAAGCGTTGACTAAGATTTTAGTAGTATTCATGATATTTTTATACATCTTTTTGATATCATCCTCTAGTGCAGTTGAATCTGAATATTTTCATAAAACCAAAGAAGTTCCTGAAAATAAAAATTTAATTATCACAAATGCTTAATTGTTGATTACTTTTACAAAAAATTGTAACTTTTAAATGTATGTATTTGACGCAAAATGCAAAGTTGCAAAGAGTGCCATGCCACATACGTGAAAATACGATAATTTTATTGATTCCGCAAAGAAAATGTGGAACATGTAAACTCTCGGGTCGTGATCGCATTCGCTGCTTATAAAGAAGGGATTTTTTATATTTTCTATCTGCAACTTGCCTTGTGAGATGAAGGCAAGAGTTTTCCAGTGCACGTAAAAAAAAAAAAATACTTTCCTGATAAGCAGTGGGCGCGATTTTTTACTTGAGGATAAATGTAGCACTTTCGCTAAAAGATGACTCAGGAAAAAATCGTTGCAGAAAATATGGAAAACAACTCTTTGTATAAAAAAGGCCAGGTTCTATACAAATCTTGAAGCCAGTTTTAAGGGTACTTCAACCGAGACGGGTCTCTTCTATTTTATTTATTTATTTCAAGATATTTATTAATCCACAAAAATAACAGTGAAGGTCTTTTTCTAGATCCGTTTAGAAATTCTTTGCCCAAGTAATCATGCAGACTCTATGAGTCGATCTGAATTTTTTGGAGGATGAAATTTTATAAAATTCTCCCACATTTTTATTAGCGGGATTATTTTATTAATACGTTAAAAAATTAATTTGTTTTCACATATTTTTCAATCACATTAAAATGTGNGCTTTATAATTTCTATTTTACCAGTGAAAAACTCACCACAATCGTTGCATTCAAAGCACTCACTATTTCTTTTGTGAATTAAAGTATGTTTTTTTAGATTATAACATTGAGTGAAAGATTTGCTGCAAAATTTACATTTGTAAGGCTTTTCGCCTGTATGAGAACGAAGATGCCTTTTTAAAGTACTGCTTTGAGAAAATGATTTGCCGCAGATTTCGCATTTATATGGCTTTTCAAGTGTATGGATTCGTGTATGCTGTGTTAAGTAAAATAGTAGACGGAAAGATTTGCCGCATATTTCACATTTGAATGGGTTTCCGCCTGTATGGATACGAATATGCCTTTTTAAAGTAATGGCTTGAGTAAATGATTTGCCGCAGATTTTACATTTATATGGATTTTCGCGTGTATGGACTTGTTTATAATGCCTTATTAAGTTAGCTGATTGACCGAAGTGTTTGCCACAGATTTCACATTTGAATGGCTTTTCGCCAGAATGGGTACGAGTATGTACTTTCAGGTTATGGGTTTGAGAAAAAGATTTGCCGCAGATTTTACATTCATATAGCCTTACGCCTAAATGGACGAGAATGTGTTTCCTTAGAGACTCTTTCACTGCAAATAACTCACCGCAATCGTTGCATTTAAAATTCGCATCATTTATGATATGTTTCTTAGTATGTTTTTTTAAATAAAATAAGTGAGAAAAAGATTTTCTACAAATTTTACACTCAAATGGCTTTTCGTGTGTATGCAAGTGAGTGTGCTGTTGTAAGCTTTGTTTCGAAGAATAAGATTTCGGGCAGAATGGACATTTGAATGGCTTTTCGCCCGTATGGGTACGAGTATGTACTTTCAGGTTATGGGTTTGAGAAAAAGATTTGCCGCAGATTTTACATTCATATGGCCTTACGCCTAAATGGACGAGAATGTGTTTTCTTAGAACCTGTTTCTTTGCATATGACTTACCGCAATAGTTGCATTTAAAATTCTCATCATTTATGATATGTTGCTTATTATGTATTTTTAAATTAAATGATTGAGTACGCACTTTGTACCTATACCATAATAGTCCACACATAGAACTAGCACCTTATAATCTGAAACTTTACTGTATCTTTCGCACTGATTACACTATACACGGAGATTAACACGGAGATTAATTTGGTGGTATATGAAAGTTGCATCGATTGTAAAATAACACGAGTTTAACTAGTATAAACTAAGCTCGTATTATAGCTGAGGTACCTTACTTCTTCTCACTTTGGTAATGCAATGACNTAACAAACTCATTTGCATTCTTATTATTTTATTCTAATACATGTACTATCCTATAATGATGAGAATAAATAATAATCGATAATTTTATGCTAGTGATGTAATTTAACGGTAATTATACCGTCCTTACATCCGGAGTATAGAACCCAAGAAGTCTCTAATAATTATTTATGCTAAAAAATGTCAAATAAAACAAAAATAATGACTTTTCATCTATTAAGTGATTCAAGTTTTATTTAAAAAATTAGCAATAAATTCAAACAGATTTGAACTTAAGAACTAAAGTATATGTAATTTATTGTAAAGTAATATGATATATGATCGCTTGTGCCCACTTTGTCTCATACTGTAGCTAATAAGAGCAAAACCACAAATTCACTTGAATATTGCCAAATACTAAGAATGCTCCGATGATATATGATCCAGTTTTCATATTTACAATACATAACGTAAGTAAAGGATAGTGCTATTCCCTGCGCCCCTCGTGCCAACAGTCACTATAAACAGAGCTATAGTTTCCTCACAACTGGTTTTATGATTTTTGTATTGTATAGGACCTGACTTTTCGTACATGTAAAAGTTATATTCTATATTCGCTGGTCGTTGTTCCGTTGGCGGTACGGAAAAAAAAACTATTTCTGATAAATAATGAAACAATAACTATTGTTACCATCAATAATTTTTGGATAAATCTGTCGTTATTTTATGCAGCTCACGATATAATATAGTTTTCAAAATTAAAATCAAATTCAGACAAATGTGAGCCTGCAAACTTGAAAACTTTTCCACTAAAAACACTACTACAATATTTAAATTAAATATAAACTTGAAAATTTTATTTTCATAAACAAAGTTATAATTACTTTAACTTACGGTCTTAAGCGGCAAACAGTTAATTTTTGACTTTTGATTTCTTCTTCCTTAGCAGTGAATCAAAAATTTTCAACCCCACTTTGGTTATTAATGTAAAAGGCTAGAACAGTACTAGGTCTATTTGAGACACCAAAAGCCACAACGTTTGATTTTTCGTTTTTTTCAATTGTAATATATCAATGTACACTTTGGACCTGTACAATAATTGTTTACAGATCTCACGAGCATCTTGTAATCTGAAACTCTATTGCGTGAACCGTACTGCTTACACTATACACAAAAACCAATTTGGTGGTTCAACTAGTATAAACTAAGCTCGTATTATAGCTGAGGTACCTTACTTATTCTCACTTTGGTAATGCAATGACACAAGAGAAAGCCAGAACGCAAAGTCGATGTGTCACTCTACGCTTGTACCATCGCTGAAACTCGATGAATCATTAAAAGTAGAGAACACCTTACACGAGAGTGGACATGGCGTATTCTAATTGTGGGAATTTCAAATCTTAAGCTCATAATGGCCATAGAGTTTGGTTATTTTAAAAGTAACAAAATTATTTGTTTTATAGCTATTTCTTGGGTCCAGAGACATTTAAAAAAGTAACACTTTGGCTTTTAATATTATTTTAACTTTCATACTTCTAACTTTTGAATACAAAGTTGAGAGCGTTAGGCTCTAAAGAATTATATAAATATTGTGAAATATTGTTACATCCCGTTAATTATAGCTTTAATTTAACTGTTATTTAACTATTTATTCGTTAACAGTGTAATACGTAATGTATAAGCTATGTGTAACTCAGCAACGCAACTCTTCTCTAAGAGAGAAAAGTTTCTACACTCTTATTTTGCAAGTATTTTCAAGGATGATGATGACAATATTAATAATAATAATAAAAAAATAATAATAATCGTCATCATCATCATNATACACGTATGTATATATACATTTGTAAATTTAATCAATCATGCAACCTTAGGAAGTTCCAACACATTGTTTGTCTGGTGCAATAACTATAAATACGAAAACAAATTAGTTTGCCTGTAAGCCACTTTGTAAAAATCATAAAATCAAATCATTTTTTATTATTTCTTCAAAAGTAAACTACTATTATTTCAGTAGGAATAATGGAAAATTTCACACCAGTGAAATTTATACAGTTTAACAGTAATTTATCTATAAACAAGATTTTTATATTTTATTTATTATAATAGTCCATTTGTATTAAAGAGCTATTTAAACAAAGTTGACAGAAAAATAATTTTACAATTAATTAAAAGTCATTGAAATTAGATTAACCATAACTTGGAGTTCTAATATCATCCTCGTCATTACTAATTTACACGAATTGTGTCCATTTAATTGGTAATTTATCGTATTAAGGAGCAGATTTACAGCCGCATATGTTTGCATATAACAGACACTGATGTAAATTTTTTATTTTATAGGATCTAAAATGATAAATTTTAAAAATTATGAGATTTTCAATAAAATTTAGTATACATACTCAAAACAATTTGTAAATAATACTTTCGCTATTATGGGTGCGAATATGACGTATAAGATTGTATTTTTCAGTAAAAGATTTACCGCATTCGTGGCATCTATAGAGTCGATCACTGTTGTGAACTAGACTACGCCATTTGGAACTACATTTGCCAAGAAAAGATTTGCCACAGATTTTGCGATCACATGATTTTTCTATGTGGGTATGTAGGTGCCTTATGATTTTGTTTTTATCAGTACAAGACTTGCTACTACTGTCGCATTCAAAACGCTCGATCTTTTTGGTATGAAGTAACGTATGTCTTTTTAGATTAGAACTATAAGCAAAAGATTTGCCGCAGATTTTGCACGTGTAAGGCTTTTCGCTTGTATGGACACGAATATGTATTTTTGCATTATAGCGGGTAGTAAAAGATTTTTCGCAAATTTTACATTCATATAACTTTTCATGTGTATGGATTTGATTATGCTTATTTAAAACAGATAATTGATTATAAGATTTGACACAGATTCCACATTGGTNAGAACTTCGTATACGCAAAATTGATGTGTCACTCTACGCATTCACGATCGCCGAAACTCGATGAATCATCAAAAGTAGAGAACATGTTACACGAGACTATACACGCCATACTTTAATGGTGGTAATTACAAACTTTTAATTTGTAATAGTTGTAGAATTTTGTTGTTTTTAAAGTAACGAACTTTTTTTGCTATTTATCTGTGCGTTTGAGTCCATAGACTATGAAGAAAATAGATTTTTGGCAGTTACGTTTGGTGGTCTAAGACTTAAAAATTAAGATATCATTAATAACTACGTTGCTAATATGTTCCGTATTCTGTTAAGACTACATTAATGTTATGTAACTAATTATCGTAGTAATTAACGATAATATTCGTAATAAGTGGCTGTAAAATATTTTTTTTTTTTTAATAAAAAATATTTAATACCTAAGACAGTGTTAATAGTGGTGAATTGGCGTAACGATACAATTTTCTAAACTTATTAAGGACCTTATTTGACTCATAATCATACAGATATTTAAATAAATTCTTTGTAAGTTTTTAATTATTTGTTAGGTGTACTGTATTTTGTTCATTTGATTTTTTTCTTTTTATTATAATTCTTATTTTGTATAAGTTCTCTCAATTGGAAAAAAATTAGCTACAACTAGTCAAATCCAAAGATTTTCGAAGACACCTTGAGTTGACCTACGAAAATACTACGAGATGAACTAAAGAAAATAAATGGTAAAACTTATACAATTCAGGATGTGAAGATCATGTACAATGAAATATTTTTAATTGTCAACAATGTCTACTGATGGAACTTTATACGGATGTTCTAAATTTTTCGATCAACTTCTTTCTATGTGTGACTACATAAAAATCTGTACGTTTTACTTGTCTTCTTATTTTTCGATAATAATACTAATTCTTGAAAATTATCATTTTTGTTTTTAAGAAGTAAATAGAAAAATAGATTTCAAATCAATTTTATTTTCGTCGATCCCGAACCAGCAATTTATACTTATGATATCAATATACAATCAATTAATTGAAACTAAATTATTTATCATTTAATTTAATCCATTTAATTTTTGAATACAGTTACTTACATATAATATAAGCTAGAATATGATATACATACGTGTATGGCCAATTATATATACACTCAGGCCAAAATATGAATATATGCATGAACCTTACCATGAACAACCGAAAACTCACAGTACATACGTTATAATTTTTGATATAAGTTTTCTTAGTAATTATTGAGAAATATTTAAGTTGTCACATTGAATGCAATAAAAAAATGATATTTGATTTGATGGTCGTTTTATTTTATTTTACTCTTCCATTTTTGTAATTGATACGAATTTCCAATTTATAATACAATCAATTAGTCGATTCTTTTCATTTTGCCAGTCTGCATTTTCTAGTATTCAGGACATTTCAGTATCAGTGGTTGACGAGCCGTTCTTCAAGCACCTAGAAAAATAATTCCTCGTTTTATACAAAATAGTTGTTTCCTTCCTCGTTTTTATTTTTTATTTTTATACGTTATTTCAGTTAAACCTACTCTACCCCCTTTAAATTTGATATAAAAATTACAGTACGAAATTAAAAAAAAAAAAATTTTTGTGCGGTATTTTATCAGTTGAAAATACACGGAGATTAATTTGGTGGTATATGAAAGTTGCATCGATTGTAAAATAACACGAGTTTAACTAGTATAAACTAAGCTCGTATTATAGCTGAGGTANCCACATTGGTATGGCTTTTCGCCAGAATGGGCACGTATATGTATTTTTGCATTATAGCGGGTAGTAAACGATTTTTCGCAAATTTTACAATTATATGGCTTTTCCCGTGCATGGACTCGTTTATAATGCGTTTTTAAGTGACCTGATTGACCAAAATAAGTGCTGCAGATTTCACATTTGAATGGCTTTTCGCCTGTATGGGTACGAGTATGTACTTTCAGGATATGGGTTTGAGAAAAAGATTTGCCGCAAATTTTACATTCATACGGCTTTACTCCTACATGGACGAGAATGTGTTTCCTTAGAGACTCTTTCACTGCAAATAACTTACCGCAATAGTTGCATTTAAAATTCGCATCATTTATAATATGGTTCTTAGTATGTATTTTTAAATGAAATGATTGAGAAAACGATTTGCTACAGATTTTACACTCAAATGGCTTTTCGTGTGTATGGAAGCGAGTGTGCCGTTTTAAGCTTTGTTTCGAAGTATAAGATTTCGGGCAGAATGGACATTTGAATGGCTTTTCGCCTGTATGGGTACGAGTATGTACTTTCAGGTTATGGGTTTGAGAAAAAGATTTGCCGCAAATTTGACAGTCATATGGCCTTACGCCTAAATGGACGAGAATGTGTTTCCTCAGAACCTGTTTCTTTGCATATGACTTACCGCAATAGTTGCATTTAAACCACGCATCGTTTGAATTATGTTTCATGGTGTATGTTTTTTGATGAAATAATTAAAAAAAAAATTTTCTACAGATTTTACATGCAAATGGCTTCTTGTGTGTATGCAATCGAGTGTACTGTTTTAAATACTGTGCAAAAGTAGAAAATTTTGGGCAGAATTTATGTCTATATGCTTTTCAACAGTGGGGACTCAAGTATGAATTGTTAACTTACTTTCGCAAATAGATAACAATTTGCAGTAATCACATTTATAACGATGTCTGCTCGAATGTATTCGTCAAGTTTAGTTTCACAATAGAATGTATCATTTAATATTTACACATCAGGTGTTGCACATCTTTAATCTTATTGGCTCTCATTCTAAGTATTATACTCCGTTAGATTTTAGAGTAAGTGTTGACTCGGATTTTGGCAATAGCTATGATATTTTTATACCCGATGTTGATACATTCCTCTAGTGCAGTTGAATCTGGATATTTTGGTAAAACCAAGGAAGTTCCTGAAAATTCAAATTCACTATTACATAAAGTTATTCGCTTTACAGTAAAAGGAAAAAATCGCTAACATTTACAATAGATGGACCTAAATGTGCTGAAAAATACTTGCAAATGAATACTATTTGAGTGAAATGTAACGTAAAGTTAGTTGGTCGGTTTGGAAATAAAGCCATATAATCCCATTGTTACGGAGGTTTTTATTTTGGTTATATTTATTTGTATGAAAGCAGAAAAAAATGTAAATTACAAAAAAATTATACTATGTTTATAATACTTATTTTAACGAGCAGTAATGTATTTGGTATGTATTTTTGGTAACATAAATTTTAAAAAAATGCATGTACCCTTCACACCGTTACATCACAAAGGAAAAGCGAGATGACTTCAAAATAATAATCTTCTGCAGACTTAAACGAAAAATGATATGAGATTCATAAATATATGGAAATTGGTCAATATAAATATATGGCCTTAATTTCTTATCCATTGATTTATTTTAATTATATCGAGGTCAAAGACTTTTTTTTAAAATTATAATATGTTTTATAATAAGTGCAGATGTTAAAAACAAGTTTATGTTGATGATATATATTCAAGTATTAACGTTATATATATATATATATACACGTATGTATATATACATTTGTAAATTTAATCAATCATGCAACCTTAGGAAGTTCCAACACATTGTTTGTCTGGTGCAATAACTATAAATACGAAAACAAATTAGTTTGCCTGTAAGCCACTTTGTAAAAATCATAAAATCAAATCATTTTTTATTATTTCTTCAAAAGTAAACTACTATTATTTCAGTAGGAATAATGGAAAATTTCACACCAGTGAAATTTATACAGTTTAACAGTAATTTATCTATAAACAAGATTTTTATATTTTATCGGCCCAGGCCGTGTACACATGTGGAGATATATTTCACGTTCGCTGTTCCACCAGCGGTACAGAAAAAAAACTCTTTCTAATCAACAATAACAATAATAAAAATAATAATAAAAAAAAAAAATTAGTTGTTCAATATTACTAATTGTACTACTAATAATTAATAGTATTTTTTACGAAAAACGTAATTATTTCATGCAGTTAACAACGTGATTGAGATTTTAAATTCCAACTTAGACAAATATGAGGCTGCCAACTTTTAAACCTAACGGAATGTTGTCGACAGCAATTTATCATTAATGCCATCAATGCTAAACGTTTTAAATGAAAAAAATACTAGCGTAATCGTTTAATTTTTAGTAGACCTTAAAATTTTATTTTAATAGTGAAAAGTTTTAATGTCTTTAACTTACGATTTTTATAGAGAAAAAGTTTATATTTGACGTCCGTTTTCTTGCACAGCAATCTCATCTCGTTTTACTACTCGGTTGTGTATTTCAGTTTCGCGACAAATATTACGAGTGCCTTATAATCTGAAACTCTACTGTATCTTTCGCACTGCTTACACTATACACAAAAACCAATTTGGTGGTATGAAAGCTGCAACGATTGCTTCATAACATGAGTTCAACTAGTATAAACTAACCTCGTATTATAGGTGAGGTACTGTACTTCTCCTCACTTTGGTAATGCAATGACACAAGAGAAAGCCAGAACTTCTTATACGCAAAGCCGATGTGTCACTCTAGGCATTTACGATCGCCGAAACTCGATGAATCATCAAAAGTAGACTTACACGAGAGTGGACATGGCGTATTCTAATTGTGGGAATTTCAAATCTTTAGCTTATAATGGCCATAGAGTTTGGTTATTTTAAAAGTGACAAAATTATTTTGCTGTAAAGCTGTGAGTTTAAGTCTCAGGACTTTTAAGAAAATTTCAGTTTGGCTCTGCATATTTTGCAGTTTTTAACTCTTAACTTTTAAGTACAACGCTCAAATCTTCAGGCTCTAAAGATTTAATATAAAATATTGTCATGTTATCACTTTTATTAAGTTTCAAGTAAAATCAGATTAGTTTATTTTTGTGTGCAAATTTAAATGAATTATGTGAATTTTTGTTTAAAATTTAAAATAAAAAGTTTTCGTTGGAGAGGAAAATTTTTAAATAAAAACAATTTTTTTGGATAATAATTCCGCTTAATATTAGTGGATACTTTGAAAAATTGAAAAATTTGTAGTGTTTTTGACATGAGTAGAAAATATTGAAGTATAAAAATAATGAAAATTAATACTTACTCAAATGTCATAAACCTGGAGTATTTACTAAACCCACATTTCATACAACAAGCGCTAGGTCTGATTAGAAAATTGGAAAGTAATAGCAAAATTTTATTAAAAATGAACAAATTGCAACTTACTTTGCTGATATTAGGAGATACGTACACATGACACTTGTATATAGTTTATAGTGATTACAAATATAAAATTTTCAACTCAAGGAATATAAGCCAAATGAAATGTTTTTCATCGAATATAAACTTTTTATACTCTCTTTCGATGTTTCTGTACTACTTGAGACATGAAAAATTAATAGTCTCTTTAAGGTAAGGCACTATTGATAAACCAGATGCAGCATTTAACAAAATAAAATATAAAAAGTAAAATTAGTAACATTGTCATATCACTTTTTAATTCCGTTTGTCTTTTCAAGAATTGAAAGAAAAGTCTTTAAAATCAGAAGTGAATAGTGCAATATTAAATCAACCGCAAATCAAGAAAAACATGCATGTGATAATTCAGTTTTTCACAATTATTCACTTAACTTTTTAAACCTCTTGAATAATCTTTTTTTGAAAATTTTTAGACATTAACTCTAACCATCTCAGTTGAAATGTATACCTTGCTCATAATTATACCTTTGTCACGTGCCGAAGCTGCTTTTAGAATTGTTTATGCATTTTATGCTTTCGCATTATGTTATATCTAAAAGCTGCATATCAATAAGTAACTCAAACATTTTAAAACCTTTAGTCTTAAAAAAAAAATTTATAAAATCGTATATTATTTACTACTGAAAAAAAAATTGTATTAAATAAAAATTTTTCTCAATTAGGGTAGTTGTTTCCCAATATATAGGTCAATCGTATATATAGATATACAATACTGAGGTTATGTCCATATATCATCCCGTATTCAAAATATCAGAGAGAAATATGAATGCCTTTACGGACACTTATACGTACATAAACATATACATCTATCTACTTGTACTCATGTGGCAATGAGACGTTGCCCCATCCGCGTTACTTACTTGGTTATCTTCCAAAATCAAACGAAGAGCACTTTTTTGATTACTGTTACTCTAAAACTATGTGGTAAAAAATTCTCAAAAAATGTATGTGTTTCTTTACTGTCTAAGGTAATTTTCAGTAGTTTTTCAATTATGTATAGATATGCGGTAAGTTACACTTTTTAAAATAATGGGGCTATGTAGTGTTTGCACCATTGCTCCAATGTTAAAAGAGTGATTTTTTGACGAGGATATTTCAATCACGACATGGTAAATCGGTCTTAAATTTTTTTACACACATTTCTCGACGCTTATATTAGTTTTGCTGAAAATTTCGTACCTTTTAGATACTTTTGATTAAGGAAACAACTACCTTAAGGTGGCTTGGGCGGTTAGTATAGTACCTAGGGTAGGGTGCCATAAGGGCCCTTAAAAAATCAACGCTTTTCGATGGTAAATTTTTCAATAAATATAGTTACTTCGATAAAAAAAAAGTACAAGATTAATAAATCGCCAGAAAAATACCGTGAAATTATAATTGTGAAAATTGGGAGATGTTGCGAGGCAAACCAGATCAATATTTCAAACTTTTCTTCTGTTTTTCTCTTAAGTTAAGTCGTTGACCCTATATTTTTAAGAATTTAATAGATTCTTTGTAAAAAAAATACACAAGAACTATTTTAAAT